TATATTATATTGTATTATATTATATTATATTATATTATATTATATTATATTATATTATATTATATTATATTATATTATATCATATTTTAAAAAGTGAGATGCGCGCTTTTGGCATGAAGTCCAGCCTATTGGTTCATTGTGATGAGTTCTAGCAACAAACTCGATTGTGATTGGCTTGTGCAACCTGCTTTAGCTTTTTGATTGGACAGGCGACGTTCGGGATGCTCGCTCCTATTGGTCAGCCCCAACAGTAGCGCTTCCCGCTGATTGGCTGAGCTTACGGGTTGTAGAGTCCGGCAAAGTGTCGAACTGGGGACTGAAGTGAAGAGGAAGTACTTTTTAAAATGGAAATCTGGCAAATCATAGTTTAACTTTCTTCAGCCGAACGGAGGGAGAAGGTGAGGAGTCTCTTCTGTTTACTGTCCAGTGTGAGGAAGGGAAGGTTATTTGTTTACAAACAGCATCGCCCGCTGCATGGAGGCATGGACGGATAACGTTATCTGTTAATCCGTGTGCAGTAGGAAGAGAGGGTCAGTATGAAAGCTACTCTGTCAATGCTTCAACGTGTTTAGTGACATTTAAACACCGATTATATTGATTATTATCAAATGTTTAGAGCTAATGTCTGTCAGTAAATGAACTTAGTCCGACTGTGATGAGCGGACAGTCATCCCCTTGCTGTGTGCGGTTTCAATTGTTAGCTAGTGTTGCACTTGACTTCACTGTGGTTTATTTGCCGCTAAATCGAGATGAAAGTGCAACAACGAGTCTCGGTTAATTTACTGGACATTGTGAGTAAATGGACGGACAGTATAACAGACTTTAGGCACAGTCCGGCTCTTTGTTTTAGTCTAAAAGCCGCCGTTGAGCTTGTAACGTTAACAGTTTTACTCAATGACATCACGGAAGCTACTAGTGGTCAAGATAGGCAAAGTGAGGCAGTACGTCCGGTTAGTAAACAAAATAAAAGCCATAATTATTGCTGTAAAGGAAATAAACAGTTTATATCCTACCAGTAATTACTTTCCTTTAAGTGCTTCTTAGGGTATTTCTTTTTCTCGCATTTAATTTTTCCATTTCGTCAATAACAATCAAGTAATTTCCGGTCTTGTGCCATGTTTTTCTAGCTGACTTTGACAGAGGTACGGAAGCCAAACGGTAGCTCGGTGTCCCGCTGCTGTTCCATGTAATTCAGCTCAGTCTGCAGAGTAAGCTGAAATGTCCTGTTAAACCACGGACAGCTCTCTGCCTCACCAACAGAGCGGTGTGTTTTTATCCTGTGTCTGCTTTCTATGTCTTTAAGGCGTATCATTATTACATTACATTACATTACAGCAGAGTCAGAAAGGATGTTGTTATTCATCAACATCACTCGGGACAATAGCGAGAAAAGTTAGCACCAGTAAAACAATAGACACTGGTATATTGTTAGTCTGTATGTAGAACTGCCATTAGTGTAAATACCTTTTAGTAGAGAGACACTGTGCCAGCTCACTGCAGTAGGAGTGGGGCCAAGGTCAGCGCCCCCTGACAGACCGTATAATTACTTCAAACTTAACTTCAAAAGTGTGTTTTGTTTTTGTTTTTTCATCAGAATTAGTGCATTCGTTCAGCATCGGTGCATTTAATATTTTCTTTTTCCAGAATATTACAGTTGTGATATGGATGGCTATGTGTGCCCATGCAACAACATGAATTATTTTTTAGTGCGTTAAAATATGAATATTTATTCAAATTATAACGCAAAGTCATTTTTTCTTCTGAAAGAGTTCAGGATATTGAGTCAAACACCTTTGCAGTTGTGCATTGGATTGGGTGATATGAATCCCCTTATCACAGTATATGTAATTTTATATTACTATATATATTGTATCTTGTTTGTTTAATAGTACAGTTGATAAAGTGTTTTTGGATAAACTAAAAAGATAGGATTGCCTGATGTAATTAATCAAATTAATTAAATTCCTGACACATTAACTTCTTTCATCACACTCATGTAAAAATGCAACACGAATGCAAAACTGATCTGGAGCATTGCTGTAATAGTAATGTTTAAGATGGTTAAACCTCTGACTTTAGATAAATGATTAGTGTCTCAATAAATATATTGACATAATGCGTAAAACTAGTCGTGAATGCATTTTCTGACTTTTCAACCTCAACTTTTTATGACTGTATGTTTCCAGCTATGCCTGCACAACCCCCTGTGAGGGAGCCAGAGGAGGAGATGGAGGCAGAAGGAGAGTCACAGCTCCCTGAGGCCAATGGAGAGGTGGAGGAACCGAGAGAGGATGAAGGAAGAGGAGGTGGAGGTGGCGAGGAGACCATGGAGGAGAGCGTGGAAGAGAGGGAGAGTGACTTAGAAGAGAGTGAAGAGGAAGAAGAAGAGGAGGAGGAGGAAGAGGAGAGTTCAGGTAAAAATCCAAGTGCTCTGCTGATTTGTCACTTGTATGAAAATATCAAAGAAGAGACTGTATCCCAGTTCTTCATTGTTTCTCTCTCTCTGTCCCTGTGAAGAGATGGACGATGAGGACTGTGAGCGGAGGAGAGGGGAATGTCTAGATGAGATGTTGGATCTGGAAAAACAATTTCAGGAGCTCAAAGAAAAGTAAGTTAAACCTGGGGGCCGGACAGACAACAGTCAGCTGTATGAAGGATGAAAAACACTGACTTCAGCATGTGATTGCAGGTTGTTTCGGGAGCGGCTGAACCAGGTGAAAGTGAAGCTGGACGAGGTGTTGACAGGGAAGGCTGGAGAATACAGAGAACCACTGGCTGCGCTACAGAACAGCATGCAGATACGAACACAAGTGGCCGGTATGATCTCATCTCATTTGTTGAATCTGTACAAAAACTGAAGTGTAAAAAACGCAGAGTTTTGGTTTTATAGGTGCTTCTCATAGGGGGCCGTTAATGTTCAAATTTTAAGTTACAATATGAAATAATAGGATGGTAACATATGCACATGTACTTATCATCATTATTATTATTATTATTATTACATATTTCATTATGCTGTACAGTCCAAAACAGCAACCTAGTGTTATCCAAAATAATTAACAGAGAATAGCACTTGAAGTACATTATACACAATGATTTTTATCATATCAAGCTTCTTTCAGCCAAATTTAACAGACAACAATTTACAAGATGAACAAAACACAGGAAGTCTGTGACACAAAGATTGTGCCTCCAACAAGATAAAAAAAAATAAAAAATCAGATGTGTGATTTACTGTTTTGATATGTAGAAGAAAGTCAGCTGTACTTGATAGAACAGTAACACACCACTATAGCTCACCTCCTGTCTGTGTCTCCTGATGCTGTAAGTGGCTGTAAATGCTGTTGATGTTGTGAAATCATGAAGCAATAGTAGGCAAAGCTCTGATGAGTAATTCGCTTTCCAGCCTGTTACACAAGCTCAGAGTTACGCTACAAATGAAAACTGACTGTAGTGAAGTGCCGACTCTACTGCTGGAAGACAAATAATTTCATTCAACGTTTGTGTAGATTTCCTCATAGTATCTTGAATGGGTTGCATTAGGTCAGGACCAGTAGTTTTCCAATGCACTCTCTCTCTCTTGTCTCTCACACTCTCTCTCTCTCACTCACTCGCTCACTTGCTCTAAACTAAGGTAAACAAAGATCACATGACTGCTTTCTCTTCCGACCGCCCATCAGCAGTGGTAATTATTATTACCATTGATGGCCATTATCAAAGGCAAACTCAACATAGAAAGACAGGGCTGACAGTAGCAGCAGCAGCAGCGGTCTGGACACACACTGCGAGCCGCAACAGTTCAGCGAGGTAGCCATCATACAGAGGCGAGGTGATGCAAGAGGCCAACTCATTCCTGTTATGTTATCGCTGGTCAAGTTGACTGTTAACAGTGCGGGCCGAAGTGTCCCACTTGACTTGTCGATACCATAGCAGTGAACATATTGCACGTCAATAATAATAAAAATAGTTCTGTCAGTTTCAGTCTTTGTCAGGCATCTTGGAACAAAATGAAATTGCCACTGGTTGTACTAGATGATTAGATGATGATGAGGTTTTGCGGTGTCACTGTCTGTTTCTGTCTGCTTCTGAAAGTGACTAAGGGCACGAAAATCTAAAAATACCCACTGTGGCATCTTTCTGTCTCAAACATCCTGTCTCTGTCTTCATGTACAGGAGTGTACAGAGAGCTGTGTCTGCAGGTGATCAAACACAAGCATGAGTGTGAAGTACAAGGAGCACGGCAGCACCTGGAGGTAATGCTTATTGAATATTGATATCAATTAATATTAATTGATATTAATATTGATTACATATTCATATTAAATATCTATTTGTACATACTATATTATCTATTATTTATCTTTTTTTAACTTTCAAATTTATAGTATTTGATATTGTCATTTTGCAGTTCTTTTGTACTGTTCACTTAGCTGCTGTAACACCGCAGATTTCCCCACTGTGGGACTATCATATCTTACCTTATCTTTCTTACAGCGTACTTTAAGCTGCATGGGGACACTTAAACAAAATTAGTACAAAACTTAAACTGTGCCTGTCTGTATGTGTATTGTGTGTTACAGAGTGAGAAGACGTTGCTGTTTGACGCCATGAAGACGGAGCTGCTGGAAAAGATAAGGAGACTGGAGGAGGACAGACAGAATATAGATCTCACCTCACACACACACACACACACACACACACACTGCAGGATGAAAAACATAGTGACATTTCCTCCCTTTGTCTTTATAGCCTATTGTCAGAAGAGATAAACCTACAGATAATCAGTGAGACTTTGTATAATGAATGTGATTTTTTTTTTCTCATCTCAGAGTGGAGCGATGAGATGAGGAGCAAGAAGTGTAAAAGAAAGAACCCACTGGGTCGGTTGGAGAGAAAAAAGAAAGTAGCTCTGGTTTCAGGTAAAAATGGATCCTTTCTTATTTATTCTGATCACCGTCCTTCTTATTAAACCAGTAGATGTCCATATTAGTCCCGCTGCCTTCCAGTCTTTTTCAAGCTGTCAGTCGATGTATGTTTGAAATGTGCTGTGGTTTCTCTCTGTGTTTTATTCTGCCACCTGTCTCATCTATCACCTATCTGACTGTAAAATGGAATTAGCTGTGAACAGACCAACAGATTCATTAATAAAACTCCTTTTCTGTCTCACAGGACCTTTCATTGTCTACATGTTGAGAGACATCGACATACTTGAAGACTGGACAGCTATAAAGAAAGTATGTTTGTAATTCTGAAAATGTCTCAGCTGTTCGCACATTAAAATGTCTTTTTCGGTGCATTGACAAGAAACTAAATGAACCTAATTAGGCTCTGATTTGAGTTATTATCTGCTGCATGATCATCACAGTTTTCAATTTTGAACATTTAAAATGTCCATGGTTATCGATGTTTTGGTAACGTTGTCTTTGTGTGCTTTTCAGGCAAAAGCTGCACTGTCGCCACTAAAAAAGAAAGCTGAAAGTAAGTCTACCTCTAGCTCACACGTACAGTATAAGCATACCACGCTGTGAGGGTTGTGTCTCTAACCCATCATCAGTTTGTCTTTCAGAGCGGTGATGATCGGCGGGTCCCAGTGGCATCCAAACCAAACCGAACACACACACACATTCCCAACTACTTCCTCTAACACTTACAGTTTTGTGTCCTCGACTAAAGCAGCCCAGCAGACTGATCTTTTTTTTTTTTTCTGCACCTTTAACCCCAGCAACCACCCCACCGCCCCCCTACTGCTTGTTTGTTATCTATTGCTATTTAAAATAAGTTCTTAATATGACAACCATGTATTTATAGAATGATTTATAATGGTGATTAAAATTTTATTGTTTTGTGACACAAGGTTTGTGCGTGTGCCTCTGCTTCGCTTGTGATGTGTGTTTTAATCTTTAGGTAACCTGTAACCTTTTCCAAAAAAATATTAAGATTCTTGAAGGAAGTGTTAATGAAATTAGTAAATAATTAATTCTTGAAAAAAAAATACCATACTATTTCAAGAACAGTGGGAAAATGTTATGTCCAAACATTGTCCTTGCATCTTTATGAGCCGTCCATTTTGAACCACCAGCTGCTGAAGAAGGAACAGAGACCTGGAACATAATCAGGATTTTAGAAATAATTATATGAGTCTAAACTCCCCCACCACAACAGTTCTCAAGGCACTAAGACATGTTTGAGGACAGACACCAACAAAAAGTCTGTAAAGGTCTGTTTTCAGCTTAAAAGCCGTGACAAACCCTTTGTATTCTACCTGCTCATTAAGACTGTAAAGTTAGCGGCTAGCTGGTGAACATACTGGAGCATTTAGCAACTAAAGAGTCAGATATTTCCCTCAGGACCTAAACAGAGCTACAAACAGCTCCAAATGAAGGTCGATGCGGATCCTCCAGCTGGATGTATGAATAGGAAACTGTTAACTTTTTTTTTTTAAGAGAAAAAAAAAATAGCAAGTGAAAGAAAACGTAGTAGAGTGGATGTAGCCTCTAAGAAACCGACTTGGCACTTGTATGAAGCAGGGAGTCTAGAGCTCCTGATCTGTGCTGATTTGTGGCTCTTCACTCCTGACCAGATAAAGCTCTTCAGGCACACTCGGCGGCAGCAGGATTTTTCAACAGTGTGTTTGCAGAGATGAGTCTTCGCAACCCCCTGACTGGCTGAATCACCTCCCATGCTCTTCACAGTGGTGTGGTTTCTCTGCTGTGTGAATATGTCCTGCTGAGATGTCCTCTCTCCCTGAAGCACCTCCAGCAGAACTCACAGTGGTACTGTTTTTGTAGACCAGGTGTAGCGCTTTCCGCTCCCATCACATCTGTATGGTCTCTCTGCTGTGGGAACACACTTGATGGGACTTCAACTCTGCCTCTGACTTCATCTCCCGCACTGGTTACAGCAGCAGATGTGCCCTGGTGTGGCTACCCTTCTGTGACTTGTGTTGGTCTGGAGGCCGGAGGCTGTAGAAAAGCTTTTCTCACACAGTTACATTGGTGTGGTTTCTCTGCAGTGTGAAGGCGCTGGTGTGGCTTCAGAATCCAAATAAATAAACAAATAAATGAAAATGAACTGTGTACTTTTCTTGAACCTTGAAGCTCGACATAAAGCTGAGTGAACGCTATTTATTTTTTGTTAATTTTACACCCTCTAGTATGATCTGCTCATCTTGATACTCAATCACAAAAATATTCAAATATTACATATTTTTCATTAAATTATTTTGTAGAATATTACAGCTCTCAGCCTGTCAGGTCAAAGAGACTTCTTTTGACAACTACATGATTTTCTCATGATTATGCATTTTCTTTTAATTTGGAGTTAAAAGTTACTGATACATGTTCAACAGCTTCTGGGTACTGTTTCCATGGGAACAGGGTTAGAGCCTTGTGAGGCATGCAGGTGTGTCGGAGTAAATGTAGGAAAATGCATGTTTCTTTCTTATTTTGGGGACTAATACTAATATACATTGGCTGCACAGGATCAACTCAACAATTTATAAAATGTAGTGATGAGATGTGGATATTTTTGCGGATAGTAAGCGACATAAGCAGACAAGAATGTGTTTGTAAAGTGTTTATTAGCCATGAAAAGGAGAAAGAGGAGAGGGAATTCGTGTGTGTTTTCATGTTTCAACCAGCAGCAAAGGCCTGGAGTCTGAGAAAGAACTGTGAATATTGAGAAAATGCCTCTTTTACCCTCTGTTCTTGTTTTATTTTCCTCTTCTCTCAACACCCTGACAAACCACACATTTTACTTAGACTTCTGATTCAATTTTTTCTTCAGAAAAGTAATTTTCAGCAAAATGTCGATGTTGGTACTCTTAACAATATCCTGTCCTAAACTACAGAGACCAACTTTTCAAGTGATCATTAGAGGTTGGCTCTCTGTTTAAAGTGCATCTTATTTACTTCTCTTGCCTTTTTTTTTTACCATCATTTCAATTGTTCACCCTCTCTCCTTCCTGTTTCTATTCTGTCTGTTTTCCTCCCTCAAGTCTCCTTCTTCCTCCCTCATCCATTCCGCTTCCTCCTCTCAGAGTTTCTATCAGCTGCCCCCCTTCCCAATTCTTTCTTAACCCCTCATCCCGCTGTCCTACTCATCACCTGGGTGCCAAACAAAGGGTTTCAGTGGGAGCCTGGCTAACAGTTCATGACATGTAGGATGCTGCTCCCCTCTGTCACGTCACTATCTCCCCTCTTCCTCATCTCCTCACAGCTGCTTGCTGAGTTTACGCGCCTGCCTCTCCCTGGCTTCGAAGGCGGCTTTGGTGTCCAGCAGCTCGTCCAGCTGCCGGCGGATGCGGGCCATATCGAGCTGGGTGGCCTCGCACTGCTCCCTCAGGGAGGCCGACTCCACCCTCAGCTGCATGGTGGCCATGGAGAGCTGCTCGCTGCGCTCACGACACTGCATCTGCATCCTCTTGGCATCGCTCAGGAGAGACTCCACGCTCACGGCCACCGACTCACACTGATCCTGAGACATGCTCTGGACAGAGATGAGGGGGAGAGATGGAGGTCAGATGTCAAAACTGAAGCTCTGGATCTGGACAGGATACATCGATTGGCTCAAGGACATTTAAGCAGACAGATGCTTGGAAACAGAGACTTAACGCACATTTGTCCAGTTGAAGTGCTCTCTGTGATTTTAATGTGAGATTTAAGGACTCTGCTCTATTCTCCACAGTTTCTGTACTGTCTGATTTGGCAGTAATCTACAGCTCTCCTGCCAAAAAAGCAGATAAAGTGAATCAATAGCTCACAGTCACAAGTCCAGCACAGATCAACAGGTTTAAAACAGAACATTTGATCTGCGGAGAGTGAAGTAGCTTAAAGAGGCTTATCGTGGCTTAGCTCAGTCTACACTGTCCACTGCTCTTCTCTGTGTTTCTCTTTTATTCCTCTCCTGCCAGCAGTCCCTATCTCTGAAGCACGTTTTCACAGCACTCCTCTTTTTTCTCACTCATACACATTTACATCCACACAGCTTATTTCTCTCATCGGAAGCCAAACAATAAGAAGAAGTGAAAATATCTTACCATACACAGACTCCTCCGGAGTCAAGTTTATCACGAGCTTTGAGGTAGATTTCTTCTGAGACTCGAGTTTCAGACAGTCCTCAGTGCTTTCCAGAGTGCTCTCTCTTCTTTCTTGTCCCTTTACAGACTTTCTGCACACAGCAACTCCAGGTATCCTTCTCCCTCTCTCCTGTCCCGTCTCTCCTTTCTCTCTCTCCTCAGTGAACATTATCTTCTACCTCAGGGCTCAAGCGAGGTCAGGTAATCCACCGAGATTAGACAGTTAGTGGAAGACAGAAGGAGTCCTTTTGGAATAGCAGGACTCATTCTGTCTATTTTTATCTGTCAGGGAACTGCTGGTGATTCATTCAGTGCAGACAAATCAGCCCCATCCATGGCAATCACAGTAATTAAAGTAAAGTATTTTCAGTAGCTACAAATCATATCATGCTTTTTTCCCCTTCAAAATAACAAAAACAAAATTCAAGTCATTTCTATTGTGTCATAAATCTACATTTTAGAATATGCAGCCACGTCTTAATGAATATATATTTTATAATGTTTATTTCAAATAATAGTGATGATGTAGCCACAAGGTCTGAGTTTTTGCCTTTGTGTAAACTTATTAAAACAAACTGATCTTGCAGACTGTGATGAAATTGATTGGATGCTAATCAATAGTAAACACACAGTCTGTCAGTGGCCTGTTGGGTTTAACAGTCTGGGATAAACACATTTGCCAAACTGTTAGAAGCAGGGTAAAGCTTCTGATGAAATGAAAACAGCAAGAGTGAGTACACTACATATGTTTTGGCTCAAATCACTGCTCTCTGTTACTTGGCACTCGGTTTCTCAGATGCAGAATAAAGAGCGCCAGGATCTTTGATTGTGTTTGAAAACATTAGGCTTCAAAAAATAAGCAGAAGGACCAGTTTTATTGAAATACACAAGCAAAGAAAAAAACCTGGCATGAAGTCATCAGCTTTATAAGCTTCAGGTGTGTAAAGGTCACCGACCCAATGAGTCATTACATCATTTCCTCGCCACAATAACAACATTATGGAGCGCTACACAGCACACAACCTCCGCCAAACTCTTCTTCTTCTCAAAAGTTCACCTTTGTATTTAAATGGCTGTGAACTAACACAGGAAATACTTAATTTAACATTTCAAATGTCTCTTTGTAGAGAGGTGGGAGCCTTTACTCATTATCAACCACCAGAGGGAGACACAACTCAGCATATCCATTTCCATGTCTCCATTCTGGTCAAGACAAAGTGGACTCCTGTTAAAGAGAGCCTTTTACCTAAGATAGTAGTCTTACATAATAAAACAGTTAAGCTCATTGTGTTTAAGTCTTTGCTTTATTGCTTAAAAAAGTAGCACACATGTCATTTATCATGCCTGGAATTTAAAAATCCATTTGAATTATTTGCAAAATAATGTGATATAATGTTATATCCCTGTTGTTTCAAGTTGTAATGAGTGGTCCTTCAAACAGTGGTTTAGTTCACAGCTGACAGTGAACTTTAGAGATTAAATGAAAAATATTTTGAGGCAGAATGAAAGTAGGAGAAATTTGCCTCAATGTCATCATAAATAAGGAATGAAGAAAACCAACAGTAATAATAAAACTGGGTGGAACAGAGTAGTGACTCACTAGAACAACTGTGTAAAAATGTGTAACAAGTGTAAAAATCGGACTTTAAGCTGTTGAAGCTACTGAGGAGTGAAAATGTTTTACATAGGAAACATCTGCCTGGCACAATAAAAGTACAAAATCTGGGCACAGTGGTGAAATATAAAACGAATGCCTGCAGTAAACATCCCCACATTCCTTGGTTATGTAAACAAACTGAATGAACAAATCCATATTTCTGTGTGATACAGTGGTCAGACGGTTGAGAGGGGTTTGATAAGTGAGACGAGGTAAATGTGGGAAATGGGTAAATGCACAAATCAGCTGTTCGATCTCTGTATCATGTGATCAATCTGCTTAACACATGCCCTGACAGACACAAAGAGGCTGTGCAGGATTTTCGCTTCTATTCATAAATGTGTGCCTGACGAGGTGGCCGAGTGGTTAAGGCGATGGACTGCTAATCCATTGTGCTCTGCACGCGTGGGTTCGAATCCCATCCTCGTCGAGTGTTTACACTACTATTGTATCTATGTGCCAAAACACCCTTAAAAAATGTTTCTGCATCTATCATTTTGTGCTAGTGTGTGTGTGTGTGTGTGTGTGTGTGTGTGTGTGTGTGTGTGTGTGTGTGTGTGTGTGTGTTTTTTGAACTCCTCTGTAACACCCGTCCTCACTGTGGCCTTGGAGGACGGTTGAAAAATGGCTCCGTCTCTGCGGCCGTCACCCCGGGATCACCAAAAAGCCCGCCGGCCGGCCCACCATACCCTCCGAGCCCTCCTACAATCATCTTAGACCCTGAACTCTGACGCCTCTGGACGATCACAAGAACCCCGATGATGAGCCAGAAGAAGAAGTTGACCCACACTGCCGTCTAAAGGGGGGAGTCAGTGAGGAGACAACACGTGACACACAAGAAGAATATGAAGCTCTTTCATCTGAGAATCTATGTGGGAAGTTAGTGATAGACAAGCTCTACATATATTCTCTTAAATGTTGTTTTAAATGATCTGTCTTGGCTACATGATGATTTAAAGCAGCTGCCACTATATAAGGAAACTGTTTTTTTTATAGCTGTTTAAAGAGGCTATTTGTAAGTTTTCTCTGCCGTTAAACATGGTTTCCTGATGGGAGCAGGCGGTGGTGACTGTCACTTGACAAGAGCTTCGGCCAACGTTGCATTTAAAGGACAAGAGGTTATAATACGCCCTCTGAGCAGCGCTACGTTTTCAAGGCAGATTGGAATGGGTTGCTATTGGAGAGTGGTGAGACAGGTCGGGTAAGAAAAGAGCTGTTACTGCAAACACTGGCTATGTGGCTATAGCAAAACCTACAAATAGCTCCTTTAAGACTGAATCAGTTTCTCCCCATTCATTC